AGTGAGGCATCCAAGATAAATAAAGTGCTTCCAGATGGAAGGATCAGACTTGGTGCATATTAGGCAAATGTGACAGTTGCTTGAAGTACTTTAATTCCTGTTTCACTGAAGTTTCTACCTTGTGTACGGTGGTTAAAAGCAATGTTAATTTAGTAATTGCCAAGCAGTGCTGGAAAAAATACACTTCTAAGAATCAAAGGGCTCAGATCCAGAATAGAATTCAGTCCGTGGCTTCAGGATTTCACAGAAGTGTCTTGAGGTTCTGGTATGGAATAGTTGAATCTAGCTAGGCTGTACTACACGGGGGAGTGAAGATTCAGTGGAGCCCAGTACACTTCTGTTCTTCATCTTAAAAGAAATAGCCTTTTCTACCCTGTTAGTCAAAATACCAATGAGAGTTTGACAAGATCAGGAGCTCAGGTTGATTGGAACTGAATTTTTTGTTTTCCTGCTGTTCTTTGGTCCCCAGAGTCTTCAGTAGTGACTCGGCATTTGTAATTGATCATAATCCACGCAAGGCACTTCTGTTTTCTTCATGGGGATCTGTGATCAAAACAAATGACACTTCGTTCTGACATTATGAATAAAACCAGATAGGGTGTTGGTCATCGTGACTCTTGAGCTGTTCATAAAATTGCACTGTGGCTATGTTTACTCAAAGCTTTGTACTGTTCTGGACAGGAAGTTTTAATATAATTTTAGGGTCTTTTTAAAAGCTGTTTATACAGTGTATTTTTGGGATAGTGTTTGACCCAAGCTGAGACAAATATCTTTGGATTCTGTTGTGGAAGGGAGTCAGGCTTAGGCGCCCTATTAGGCACCTGTCAGTCCAGTACACTCTGACAAGGTTTGTTTAGATATTCCAGACATGGAGGGTGTAATGTTTAATATGAAATTTACTATTTGAAGGTAGTTGATATTAGAGTCATATAAAATACACTGAAATTGCAGTACAAATGCAAGTTAAACTTAGGAAAATATAGCAATTGCTGTATGCAGTTCAAACACAAAGCCAATGTGATCCCTATTACTGGTCTCTAGAATATGCTCACTGTCACAATGTTGGGTGTCCCCAGTCGCCTGGAAGGAATATGTGGGTTGAAGCAAGCTTAAGCTTGTTGTTCTCTTTGAAATTCCTTTGTTAGTTATTTAGTTTTTGCACTCTGGGCTGAGCCATGTATTCACTCCTCCATGCTGGTCTAGCTACCTCAGGGAGACATTCACTTTTTAATGAACTCGGGGAGAATCATTTACACCACTAGTTGATTTGCTCAACTGTAATATAGTCAGTTGATATGCTCAACGGATATAGCTGTTTATCTAATACAAAGGCCACCCTTTGGTCCTCTTTGTGCTGAGATAAAGTCAGCTTCTTTGTAACAGCTGTGGTCAGTCACACCCTGCATTATTCCCTGAGGTTCACGGTCATGTTGCCTTTGCTCATCTTCACTGAGCTGCCTTCCATTTTGGGGGTTTATAGGTCAGTCACTGTAATGGAATGATCATCAAATACAGCCTTGGATGAACTTGCAGAAAAACTTGGAGTCACTGAAGAAAGTGGACCCTGCGTAGTTTAGACATTTTCATTTGTTGGGTATGATGAATCTTTTTATCAGTATTTTTAGTTTGCTTTTTACTGTACAGTATGCATGGCATGAAGAGGTAGGAAGATATGCCACATAGTGCTTCCAGGCTTCAGGCTGGCCTAAATGCATGCTTTAGTATTTTATGGTCATATAAAACACTTTCAATTCCACATTTAATGCATTTCTGATCACAGACATCTATTAAATTGAAGAGGAGAAATGGACTGGAAGTTCAAATTACTCAGTGTAATTCAGTTTTTGTAATTGGATATACAGGATATGCAGTGAAAACTGTGACTCACTATTGTAGTGTGGGCACAGTCATTTCATGTATCCAGCTATGTTGTTCTGTACAGCTCTGATGTTGATCACTTTATGGTATTGGTATTTACTTATTTTTGTGTTGAACAGAACAGTAGTATAGCAAGCAAATGATTTAATTATTCCAGTGTTGGGATTTTTTTCAATATTTGTCTTCAATGATACACTGGCTAAAATTATTGCTGTGTTATGGGAGTGGTGATGTTCTCAAGTCTAATGCAGCTTTCAAAAGTACTTTTTTAAATATTGCAAATTCTGGAACTTTAAAGTTGATAAATACTAGTTTATAGCAGTTCAGTACTAATTCTGCCCCTTACTGTATATCCATGAGGTGGGAAAAAGTAGAAGGGTATTCAAACATACTATTGTAAAGTGGTAATGGGAACAAAATTAACATTGTGTGGACAGCTTTGGTATGATACAGCATGACTGGCAGGTGGTATATTTTGTAATCTAGATCTCCTTTGTATACAGGGTTTTTCTAAGTAATTTTCTATTTATTAAAAAAAAAATAGCTTTTGTATTATGTGCCTTGTAGGAGTCTCTATATGGTGACCAATTTCAACCATACTTGACTAAAGGACAGAGTTCTCACAATTCTTTTCACAGTCAGTAATGAGGTAGGAAAGCAAAACCTGGATCAGTGTGCACCACCGTGGTACCCTCCAGGTACAGTCCTCTAATGTGACAGACTGTTGAGCAGTTGCCGGGCTCACCAATCCCATTTAACCTTCTGTTAGGTGAATGGGCATGTGCTGTGTTGAGACAGCACAGGGCTAGGTGGCTCTGTCTGGCACACAGAATGGGTGGGCAGATGCAAACAAAATTCCTGATAGCTTAGGAAACAGGTAGCAAACTGGAGCTGGTAAGGGACCAAGAGTCAGGCTTGAGACAGTGAATTAGGAAATATGGGGCCAGAGAGAAGTTGCTTGCGTGCCTGTGGGTTATTGGAGACTAATCATTAGGAAACTGGGCTTTAACCCTGCTGCTTATAGAGGAATGAATTTGCTCTTGTTTATCTGAGGCTGCTCTGCCAACTCCATAGGCTTCTATGATACACATAATTTATTTTGAATAGCACCATCCAAATCCTTCCACAAAAAAACTCCAAAATACTGTTTTCACTTTTCCTTGGTCAGAAACAGTTCTTCCCCAATTCTTCCCCTTAGTATGGGGAAGGGGAACAACTGAAGTATATGTGAGACAAGGGTCAAATATATAACCTTTAGTTTGAGATTGCACAATTTTATGATAATATGTGGTCCATAATTGTGTCATGCAAAGGCAAAGTGTCGATTCTTCTTATAATAACAGTGCTTTAAAAAAATTACACATTTTTAAAGGATACTTTTAGCAGAGAAGATTAACTTGGGGCCAGTGTAACACTTTGAACATGTGGAGGGCCTGCAACTGGTTTTGGAGATGATACCTCTGTCCTCTACTGTCACTGCATAAATTAAAATTATGATACATCGGTTAGAGTTTTATTTCCTCGCTTTTCAGTTCAGTCATGAAAAGGCTATAGGATATATTCCACATGAGACAATCTGAAGAATAATTAAGATGGGAAAGGCCAGGAGAGCAGTGACACTTGCAAGCCAAAGATGAGTGTTTTTTTTTCTCTTTGTATGGTCTGTTAGTATAATACCAGATAAAATCTAAGTGCAGTTAAGTGTATTTTTAGTGGAAAAACACAATCACAATTATAGCATATGAGCTGGGAGCATATGACAGTGAAATGTATCTTCTGTCCTGTAAATGAGACAGTCCCATCATTTTTATTTTTTTGTTTAATAAGAAAGCATAGACTGAATGGCTATTCTGAACTACAGAAATACAGCTCAACATAGTTCAGATGGGGACTGTTAATACCTGAAAATACCTGGAAGCTATGATGTTTGACTGAAATATGCAAGGTGACTCTTTGAGTTGTTCTCCTTTCTGTATTGTGTTCCTACAGTGCCACTTTAAAGTTAATGCCTTTTTTGAGGATATTTTATTAAATATTGTAGCTTCTTGCCTTCAGGCTTGTTTGTCTGACATACCTGCTTTAGGTCACTTGGAGATAGAGCTTTTAGGATTACTTTATTTTGTTTATTTCATTATTTAGAAGTCTTAAGTATGAGAAGCTGTCACACTATTTTGTCATCTGGTATTAACATTAACTCAGTTACCTGTCATTTACCTTTTCCATTTATTTTCAGATTGTGAATAGTTCTGAGTTAAACTACAAACCTACAGTGAAATAAATAACAGCAACTTTGGAAACAGTTTTACGCGTTATACACATAGACCTATGAAAACTGATTTATGATAGTTTTCACACTAGAGGGCACTAACACCTCATGAAATTTAAGCCCAAACCAGTTTTTACTCTCTGTAACACTTTGGTATTGAGTAGTCATACTGTTCTTGTAGATGATGCCAAAGGTTTCACTTTCCTTGCAGCCTTTTCTCTGTAGAAATGAAAAGTAATAGTATTCTTGCAAGGATGCATTAAACGTTAGTGTGTGGAGTTTTCCTTTGTGTGGTGGTGGTGGGTTTTTTTGGGGTGTGTATGTTGGTGGTTTTTAACTAAACAATACTTTGGGTAATTTGTGGAGAAAAGTGTAAATTTTACTTGTACTCCTAAATTGCTTTTAATGTGATAATTTTCATTCAGAGCTGGTGAATAGGCAAAGATAGAAAATTACTGAATAAATTCTTATAAAATGTATCTATGAGTTAACAGCTAGAATATATTTAAAGTTGGCAATCCAAGGAAAAGAATCATGCATGAACTGACATGGCAGGCCTAACTTTTAGGTTAGGATTAATGCATACGTTTACATAATGATACCTGATATGCAGAAAATAGTATGGAAAAGAATATGAAAGTCTATACTGCCAGTAAGTAATGGATCACAAAGGAACTGTTGGTTGTATATGTCAGTTTTAAGTAGGTAGTTTTAGAATGTGTTTGAATCTAAAGTTTGAACTTCAAAGTGGTATAGCCATTTTGAAGTACTTTATTTTTGTTATGGATTTTAGGTACTGAATCTTGTTTAAAAAGCATGAATAAAATGATTTCTGATTACTTTCTTCTTTTTGTAGGAATGGTTATTCAGTTGCCTTGGAGATGATCCTGCTGCTATAAATGTAGGGCTGAAGATTAATGGTGTGGGCAGTATGGACCTAATGAACGGACAGTCAAGTAGTGTTAATATTGTGGCTACTGCTTCAGAGGTAAGGATTACAGAACTCAGTTACTGGATACTTAAGACAATAAGTACTCGATTTTTAAAAAAAATACACCAAACTAAGTTTGTCTTTTAACACATCTGTGAAGCAGATTCTTGTTTTGTGTGTTATTTTCACATGCCCCAGTTTAGATGGGAATAATTGAAAGTTCTGACCTTTGTGTACTAGAATAAAGCATGCCTTGCCACAGCCAAAGCTGCCTTTTTATGTTCTTTTCCATCACACCCAAACTTGTTCTTTTCAAGTTTTAACAATAATAGATGCTCTTAGCGCAATAAGCTGGGCTGGCAAGGCCTGTGGGAAATGTTCTCCTCTTTGACAGGTTCTTGTGTGTGTGTTTAGGGGGTGGTCTGACACAGTAGCACTTGAATAAGGTTGTTCCCTTTGTCTCCTGGACTATATTCAGGCACTGGTGGCACTGGTGTGGGTCCCCTCCTGCCTACCAAAGCTTCTGCCCACTGCTCCTGAGTTAAGAGTGTGTGTATCAGCCAAGCAAAGGAGATTGGCCTCCTATGCTGATGCCTCTTATTTTGAAGTTAATATAGTTTTCCATTTGTCATCTAAGGAAAAGAAGGCGCAGAGTGAAGTTAGTAACAGAACTTTTTGAGTTGTCTTTGCAAGGATCATGTGAGGAGCTGTTGAGGGTTGTGACTGATGCCTAAATTCTTATCAGTGTTGGAGGGTTTTGTTTGGTTTTGTTTTTTGGTTGGTTGGTTTTGGAGGTTTTGTTTTGTTTTTTCCAAAACTCTTGCAGGTCACTCCCTCTTCAAGTTCTTGTTGGTTGTTTTTGTTAATGCCTTGTAGTACTGGGATGAAGGGAACTGAAAAATCTACCTTCAGTGTATACTGAGATATCTTTCCAGGTGCAGTGTTTGTCTGCTATCTTTAGCATGACTGAATATATGCTTTGGCTTGTACAGATGTATGATACTAACCTAAGCTTTCTGCTCAAGAAAAACGGTTACTTTATTGCTGATGTATATTATTTTTATTGCTTTTGTTACAATGTGAAACATGTTTTTACCCTAGTGGCTTTGTTTGTCTTTTTTTCTTTAATTCTTCATTTGCCTTTGAAAAGACAAGGTGTTCAGGAACACTACACAGTCAGTAGTGATGAGAGCCAATAAGTCCTGAAAAGAGTTGCTTCCTTGAATGAATCTTTGGACCTTACCAAAGATGTTTGTTTTGTTTATACATTTGCATATGTATTTTGACAGCAGAACTACACGTGTGCAGTGCACTTGCATGTGCCTGTGAAAATGGAAAGTACCACAAACAAGGTGAAAGGAAAATTGGAGTGTTGTATTATCAAAAGGAATCAAATGATCTTCAGCACAATTTCACAAGTATTGTTGATTTTAAAAAAGAAAGTTGGCATCAATCTCCAAGACCACAGTTTGTTTTATACAGATTCTTGTACTTCCCTTATGATTGTATTATGAATCATTGACCACTTGTTGGCATGCAACTGAAAAATTTCTTTGAGGGAATGCTGTCTTTTTACTCAACAAGATAAGTCTTGCATGTTTACATGATGCCTGATAAAATTGAATAGAAAATATTTTGGCAGAGTTATGTGAATCTCCTTTCAGCAAGTGGTATAATTTTTTTTTTCTCCCTATCTTGACGAATGGGGAAGAGAGGGGACTTGTAACTGAAATGTTTCTGTAAGTACATTGGTTACTGAAAAAGCTGATCTGGTTTGGAGTTTTTGTAGTGTTTTCAAAGTCGTTTTTTTCGGAGAGATGATACTGTTAGAAGAACCTAACTAAAACTAGACATGATTAAATGAGAGTGTATTTTTCTTTGTGTCCTCATAGCAATAGTGCTTAAAAATGGGCAAGAGTTTCTCAAGGAGTTCAAATTTTCTTGTTTCTGTGAGTGGAAAGCTGAAATCAAAACATACTGTGTAGCCCTAAAATACAGCCTTGGTAGGTTTTCAGGAGAAGACATTAGCATAGTAGAACTGTTCACCAGCATCAGTGACCATGTGCTACCTTCCTTCCTGCCTTGGCATCAGCAGACATGATGCAGGTGTTACTGAAAGGACAGCGTAACTGCTGAAATTTGGCTTCCACCAGAAGTGATCTGTTGCAGTAGTCATTCGTGTGCGTGTTGTGTATATGACACACATCCATGGTCGTGAAAACTTCCAACATTAGCAGTAAAATTACACAGATTGTTTGAAAGTGCCTTCATTTTGTGGTCCAAAGTCTAACCTTTTCAGCTTTCTAGGAGGTATCCCCCTGTGATGGTGGTGCTTAAGGATACATGGGTCTCCAGTGTAAGACTAGACAGGTCTTGGTTTATGCTCAGGATGTTTTGCTGCAGCTGAGCTGGAGCTCCCAGCAATGGTGAGAATAAGCTCTGTGCAGCAATACTAGTTTTCTTTCTCTTGAATCTCTCCAAACAAAGTTCTATCAAACCTGTTGTTTTGCTTACATAAAGGCTGTGCTATTGCTGAAGCATGCAAGTGCCATGCTGTGCTTCAGGCAAGCCTGCTGTTTGCTGAAGAAGCAGTGTTAAATTTGATACAGGTACTGACTGTAGTAACTGTGGTCCCTCATGATGGTTTTGTCCACGTGTCTCATCTTATTTCTTACTTTTTAGCCAAGAGCTTGCTTTATGCCAGGTTTCTGAAAGTGAGAAGAAACTAAGAAGCAAGAAACATGCATAGCCTTTCAGGTCTTCAGGGGAGAGTGTAAGGTAGCACACTGTATGCCTATTTCTGAAATAAGTGTGCCTGGGGTCCAGATGTGAGGCGTACATCTGGATGTGATGTCTCAATCTCATGCAAAAAGCCCCTTCTTTCTTGTAATGACTGAACAGAATTGAGGTTTGCATCTATATACTGGAGGAAGTGATTACTTATAACACAGGTATATTGTTTCCATGTATGAAAATGAAACATATGAAATCAATATGAAGTGTTAATTTCTTGAACCATGCTTGTATTTTGTGAGGAAGCTAAAATGTTATGTGGTAAATTTATATTATCCTATGAGTTTTTTAGAATCTGATATTTTTTTCAAATGTAAATTACTAGCATTTAAAAAACCCAAAAATTGTTCATACTAAGTGTTTCAGTGGGAACACATACGTAGCATACAGTGCTGTAAGTTTTAATGCTAAGAGAAACAGGAGGAGATTGATACCGTTCTTTGATGTTAACTATTTCTTTGGGACAGACCTTGTCTTTTTCCTCACTGTTTTTTTCTGTTTGAAATTCAGTGTGACTATTTTTGTTATTATTAACTTTCCTGTCAACTACATTGGAATTGTGCTGCAATGTAACTTTGTCTTTTGAGGAACACCTTTGAAATCCATTGAAGTCAGTTTGAGAGTCTCTGATTTTAGTGGCCTTTGTCAGGAGAAAGTATGTCCTGTGACTGACTTTTAATTGCTAATTTGCCCAGTAGAAAACTTCTGTGAACAGTGATGTTTGAACAGAAACTTCGCTTTTGGGAGTGTAAAAACAGAAAAAGAGGAAACCAAAATACTGTTAGTGGTTTTGTTTGTTTCTGCAGAAGAGTAGCAGCTCTGAATCCTTGAGTGACAAAGGTTCAGCTGAACTGAAGAAGAGCTTTGATGCAGTGGTATTTGATGTTCTGAAGGTTACACCAGAAGAATATGCGGTAAGCAATTCAAGTAAATTTTGTTGCTTTGTGTGTGTTGTCTTGGCAGCTTTTCCTCTGCTTCTCCATTTCCATATGTTTTTTTACCTCACTTCTGTCATCCATTGGTTTCAAAAAGGGATCCTGCACTATAGTTCTTCATTGTCGCTATTTAATGTTAAGCGATCTTTTTGGGCTATACTGTCCAGGCATTTTTCACACTTTTATATGTAACGTAGACCAGAGGTTCTTAAATCTATATGATGCAGCTTAATTCAGATGTGCATATTTTAGTTGCAAGAATATACTTGATCTGTACTTGTTTTATCTGGAGTTGTTTTAATTTTTGACTACTTATATCTAGGGAGTGTTTTCTTTTGGGTGGAACGATACAGAATAATGAGTTAGATATCCTGCAGAACCGAGAACAAATGAGTAAAAATGTTTAACCAAAACATTGAGTGATTTTTTTTTTTTTTTTTCAATTTTATTTTACCCTACTTGTAGAGGTTAAGATGACAGATGGTCCTTCTAAGTGATTCAAGTATATTACTAGAGAGATTGCTAACAAGTTATTGCTCTTACTGCATTTATAATTCAAGTGATGAGATTCATGATGAGTTGTCCTGGGGAGTTTATCGATATGTGTGAGTGTGTATCACAAAATGGTCACATTAAGTTTGTTGTATTTTTTAATCGTTAATAACCATTTCAGTTAATTATTAATGGCAAAATTGTTTTTAATGAGCACACAGAAAATTTAAAGCATCTGGATTATGAAGTAGTGCTTACATATAAAATTAATGGGATTTATTCCTAACTGAAATGTTTTTGGGACTGGCTATTCTTTTAGTTTTACCTTAAGATTCATCTACATGAAGGAAACCTAAGTACTTAAGGAATTTGGGGCTAGGGGCATGAATTCAAGTGGAATTATGCCTTCTGGACAGAATAGGTGCAGATTCCTTTGAATGGCTGTTATTTAGCCAGTGGTGGATGCTGTTGAGCAGCAGAGGAGATCACTTAGTCTCTGTGGAGTTGCTGTCACTCACTTAGACAGCAAAATACACAAAGGTGCTTTGTCTTGTATCACATTTCATAATCCTTTTGCTCTATTCTTTAATCCTTCATTTCTCATGTGCAAAAACCTTTTACTTTCATGGGTGTTCTAAATCTCACCTACTTAGTAAATCTTGGTCAGATAAATTAAGTGGTTTTAATGTTTTCATATTACACCTCAAACTGAGTAGAGTTCCACTCACAAACAGGAATCTTTTAATTAAGCATTTCACATTGCAGTTATGAACTTGTAGTTGTATTTTGGTTTATACTACCTGGTATAATTTAGCTGTTTTCTCAGTTCCTCAAAAGAAAACACTTTAATCATAGCCTTCTCCTTTTTGAAGTATTTAGTACTTCATATCAGGTTTCATTTACTGTAAATGGATCTGAAATGTCTTAGAATTCTGAAGAATTGAGCAAAATTCCTGGTAGTCAGTGGTCAGCCCTTTGGCATGGTTATCATTAATTTAATTTATTTTTCAATGTTTCTGTACACCACTGCAATTCTTAATGTTTGTTTCCTCAGGCAAGTTTTCCCAGTAGGGCTTGCTTGCTTTGAGTGCTGTCTTTCTCTGTTGCTGAAGGTTGTAGAAGGAAATAAATTTTCCAAAAACCTAGGTACCTCGAAGAAAAAGCACCTTTCACACTTACTCTTGTTTTTTATTTTATTGGCCATTTCCTTATTCTTCCTGGTTTTAGTCCTAGTGTAACAGAGAAGTATACAGTCTTCACTGGATTTCAGTGTTACTGTGAAGACTACCAGAGTGATGCAGTATGGCCAAGCTCTTGAGGATATCAGCACCAATGAGAATGCAAAACTCTGTGTTAGTAAGGTTTTGTTACAATAGTGGGTATATACCTCTTAGATTGAACAGGAATATGCTACCAATTGTTTTTTCAAAGTATGAGAAAACATCTAGTTTAGTGATAGTTCTTGTAAAATGGATGCAGTGCAGACTGCTGACATCTGTGGCTTAGTGGAGGCTGAATTCTTTAACCAACTGTAAAATAAATACTGTTTTTAAAAGTTTTTTTTTCAATGGGTAAACTGGGGAAATAATTTGTGGGCTCTGTAAATACCTTATTAATGGAGAGAAAAGATAACATGATAAAGCCAGTAAAACAACAATAAAAGCAGATTGCTGAACAACAGCTAGCTGGACAGGTGTCTAATAGTTAGGGAACACTGTTTGGAATGAAAAAGAATTCCAGTGCATGGGTAGCATAAAGATGAAAGTTAACTGATAGTCAACATCAGCATTGTGAAGTCTCATTCTATACCTTATATGATATGTTGCATTTTGGTCAAAATGGGCCACTATGTACAGATGGAACAATTAGAATTATACTAGAGAAAGAGCAGCAAAAATCTGAAAGATAATTAAGTCTGAGATACTGGAAATGTGATTCATACTAGTTGTTTCGGTACCGATATGAGAGACACAGATGGCTATTCAGTTCCCACTGTATTAGACACATCATTGTTATTTCAGAACTCGATCTGTTTAGTGAGTTAGTGGGTAAGAAGCAAAATGGACTACAAAAACTATTGCTTGTAATCCTGTATTTTCAAGAAGCTGCTTACCAAGCCAAAGAGAAGCCCAAGTGTAAATATTTTTGGTGACTTTATTTCCATATTCTTCCCTTTGGCAGTCATCTAACACTATCCTGAATGCACAGTTAGTGTGCCGTTTCATGTAATGGTCCTTTGTTCAGTCTTGTACTAACTTTCTAGCAAAAGCTTGCCAGCCCTTCAGGGGGGGTCTGGTTTAAACAGTAACAGAAATTATTATTGTAATATATGTGTGATAGTGCAGTTATACTGTTGTTACCAACCAGATGTTTTAAGTTCTTTGTGAGGTTGAAGGCCACTTCAGAAAGGGCCAAGTTACAGCTGAAACAGGTGAGATCTTCAGGTGTAGCTGCTGCAAATTTATGGTTTATCACCCTGCAGCTTACAAAAACAGTTTCCAAGGGATGTATTGAATGCTTGCATGTTTCATAAATCTGGGGGAAAAAGAATCCCATTCAATGAGTATGAAGTTGGACACGTTTGTTTTCTGCTAAGGATTCTACAGACCACTTTTTAGCTGTAACTAATAGACTGTCTCTGTTTTAAATAACTGCTTTTAGGCTGATCACTGCTCACTTCTTTATTAAACGGCTAAAAGCCACAAAACAAGTTGGTGCCAGGGTTACCCACTGGTGTCTGGCCCTGCTGATGGAGCCGTTGTGTGTGTACAGGGTAGACACAGTTGCAGTGAATGCTGTCCATTTTCGTTGAAGGGAAAAGTGTGGTTTCAAGTGTACAGGGCACAATTTTCGCGGGAGGGATATGTTAATGGTGCAGGGGCAGTAGAAAGAAGAGGCTGGTGAGACTGAAAGAAAAAAGGAAAATGCTCGGGGACATGAGCTCCAAATTAAGATGCTGGCGAACCTCAGGTTGAAGAAATATTTATTTTTTGCTTTACAGTAAATTCTTATTCCTTAGACTGCTACTGTTTAATTATTTGACTGTTTATTACTTTTTGACTTGCTTTTCCATTTTATACTTCAACTTAGCCACAGTGGTGTAAATATTTGAGGTAGAATTAAGGGAAGCGCAGCTGTATAAATCCATTGCTTTTTTTTTTCCACCTAGTTATCTAAGAAGGATTATTTATTCTTTGCCCTAGTCTCTGAAAGTGCCACGAAGTAAGCTCACACTAAGATATATGTGTATTTCTTTTTGATTCCAGTTAAGCTTTGTCAAATGGATGTTGGAAAAAAGAATATTGCCTATTTTGGAAACAATACACAAAGTTTATTTAAAAAAAGTTTTAGATGAAAAAAGGAATTTTTCTCAAATGTTCTTACAACAGTTAAGTATCAAGTGATCTATATCTGAAGAAAGCATGGGAGTGTGTTTTGTAAAGGAAGCAGGTCCTAAGAGTTCTGGGACTGCAATTGTGTGTATAATAAAAGTGCAGAAATAAGTTTTGAGTTGTAGGAGGTTCAACAAACTAATTTTTTGCCTCTTTGACCAGAACAAAAATTAACTTAAACTGGACCAAGGTTTCCCCCATTGAGAACCTTCTTTCTTGTGTGGGCCTCTGGCAGATTCACAGTCCCCTCTGCAAGTTCCTGCACAGCTACTGGTGTGAGTTGTGCTACATGGTTCCTGGCAGTAATGTTGGTTTTGGCCTCTCCTGAGACTGTTTGTTAGTGGATTAGGGAGTTTGAGGCAAGTCTGTCTGCTGCATCTGAGAGCACTTTGAATAAAGTGACGTACTGGGCCCTAGAAGCTTTTGATGAAAAAGAACCTCTGCTTGTATGTGTTCCTGTTAGCTTTATTTTACAGAAGAATATTAAAGAATAAGTATGTTCCCAATGAGAGCAAGAAGAAGCAACTTCATTATAGCATGTGGAGTAACTATTAAATGATAAAAGTTTTGGAATAGACTTTGAGAAAACAAGTAGAATTTCAACCCAGAAACTTTAATCCCCCAGCATTCATTTTGGACAGCAGAATTTTTCTCCTACTGGTGCAGTGCTTAACAGAGGCTTAGCTATTTTTTCAGTGAGGAAAAGTATTCTGGCAGCCTGGAGAGACAGTACTAAGCCAAGTTGGAAGGCTTAAATATAATTCCTTCTAAAAATTCAGATTAAGGAACAATTTATGAAGTGCTGCTTGAACCAACATGGCTTCAAGGAAAATCAGATTATGGCAGTATTCTTCAGCAACCAAAATGTAGACATTTGATTTTTTTTCATCTCAGACAGAAACTTAGTTTTTCTTTTCACACTGAGGGTCTCTGTCCAGGAGCTCTGTGGGAAGTGCACTGTCCTTATGGTAGGTACATGGCAGGAAAACATGCAGTACAGCAAGTAGCCTGATAAAAGGAGTTCATGCTTGAGAAGGTCTAGGGACTAGAAAGGTGGGATTATAGTCCAGATCAAAAGGGAACTTTCATATAGGA